GACGCTGTGAGGGTGGGCGGCGGGGGCTGAGCCCTCCCCGGTGATCGAAGGGATTGTGTTATGTTGATGAAGGTCTTCTGGGGGGGGTTCGCCAAAATAACCGGTCCTGGGTAAACGTCCAGATGGAGGCAAGACCCTTAGGGGCTGCTTGAGTTACGAGAAGAACATTTTAATATGAAATGAGGGAAACTTCGTCACCGATAAGAGTCCCTTGTGGCCTGGGGGTCTGTGCACTTTATAGTTCAGGTCTATGGAAGAAACCGACCTAATTAGTTGTTCTTATGTTTCCACATTAGAAAATGCCCCTGTGTCCTGCTGGTGGAGAGATGCTTGTGGGGGTGGGCGTTGCATAGTTGCAATTGCAAATCAGGGAGTGGGAAGAGGCAAACATCAAGAGTATTCCCACAGTATATGTATTTTCTGAAATATACAGGCTATCTGGTCCTGTTAATTGCTATGTGTTGGGTTTTTTTTTGAGCATTTCTCATTTGGCTTCTTTTTGCATGCGTGTGTTGTGATGTGAAACCATGAGCTTGTGCTTTAAATGTGACACTGTTGTTGTAGTGCACAAAATAATTTTGCTTTAATCGTATTTAATAATTTTAAAATTAATCATATATTTAAATTGGAACAATTCTTTCTTGGGTGTAGTTATATACTACCTAGAATATCGTGTGGTGTAGAGAATGTAGTTACACAGTTTGCATGTACACTTACTCTTTTAAAGCTCCAGGTATTTTCCTCTTGCTTCCTGTTAATTTAATGACAAATGTAGGGACTACACAATATAAGTTCCTAGTAGAAGATAATAAATAAATTTTTACATTCTACTTTAAAGCACTTACATTCTATGTTTAAAATCTTTAAAATTCTTTAAAACAGCTTCCTGCAGGATGACAGGACTTGGGAAGAATGCAGTCTTGAACGTCTACTGCTTTGTCCTCCAAAAATACATCGACTAACAGTTTCTGCCAGTTGAAAACTTTGACCAAGAATTGATTCGTGGTTGTTATGCAGAGCGTTTTTGGTGGGCAATGGGGGTAGGAGGGACATGCCTATACTGTAGTTTCAGGCTGATAGTGGTGCATGTCTCAAATAAAGGAAGTAGGACAGGCACCAGCAAGGGTTTAGGGGAAGAAATTGGAATGTCTGAGGAGTAATCAATGTTACCGCCACCACTGCAAAGCTTGGGATTTGGTGATATCGAAGCATTGAAAATAAAACTTGAAGTTAGGATAACCTACAAGAACTTTTTCTGGAGGATCTGGGATTTGCTCTAACTTTATTACCAAGCTGGAGGCATGTGTCTGGCCTAACTGGAAGTGAGAAGCTGTTTAAATGCTTAGATTCAGTCAGAAAGAATTACAAAGCTATTGAGAGATCTTCTAAACTCTCTGGCATGATTTTACACTTTCCATGTTTTTTTGAAGCTTATTTCTGGAAGTTTGAATGTGATGAGAACTTAATGGATTTGTTTCTTTAGTGGGAGGGAAGATTTGAACTCAGTTTTTGTAAGATATTAACCCAGGTTTCGGTAAGATTTGATCTAAGTTTTTCATAAATGCGCGTATATATCCCTTTTATCTGTTGTTTTGTACAGTTTTATGATGGTTCGGTGTTCCCAACTATTCTGCTCCGCCACCTCCTTTTTCTGCAAGTCTATAAGGAGTATGGATTATTTTTTGCGGCCTGAATTTTTTGATGCCTGCCTTGGATGCAGTAGTGGCTTGGGATGGGCACACCATGTTTACTTGGCGAAATAGATGTGAGCACTAGACTTCTTTACCTTGTTACCTGCTGTCCACAGGAGCAGTTACTGACAGAGATCTATTGCCATGATATCTGTAGTGCAAGACATTCATCTAGAGGTAGCAAGAATTTCATATGAACACTTCAAAACTGCATGGGTGTCCTAGAATCCCAGTGTTGTCTCACATGTGTAGGGCACTTTTCCCCATTTCCCTGTAAAGGAACATGCAACACAGTTGTGTGTTGTGTAAATCTTTAAAATCTTTAAAACAGCCCTTCAGAAAGTAGCAGGGATGATGCCCAAGCATGGAGCTTGTTAATTAATGTTTTCTAGTCCTTTCTTTAAACTTGGGCAGTTTAATTTTCACTGAAATTTAAGTTTTGTGGGAAGGGAAAAGCTTGTTCTTAAAATATTAATTTTTGTGCCAATAGTCATGTATGGTCATATGGACGATAATTGTCAAGTTCCTCCTGAAAATGATGGGACAAAAGTGTAAGTTTGCTTGCGTTTTATTGGTAGACATTTAAATGCAAGTACATAATACAACAATGTAGAAGCAAGTTTAAGACAGTTTACTTGTGTGAACAGTGTAAAGCAGTGTAAATGTCTTGAGGCTTTCACATGCATCTCTCTTTCTGATGACTGCAGTGATTTCCCTTACTAGATTCTCTGTTAATGTATCAGTATAATTGATCCCAGCCATTCTTTTTAAATGTTTCAATGTGCTAGTTCTTCTGCAAAATAAACCACATATATTCCATGTTTCATGGAGCAGCTGTCTAGTTTTCCATAACTCATGACAGTAACTGTTCTGTTCTTTAGTCCTGCTTTATTTTTCTTTGTTAGCTTTCAGAGGTTTTTTTATGCCTACCTCTGTAGCACATCACCAATTCATTGTGTGAAGTCTGCATGTAATGCCCAAAGGACACTAAATTCATACTTTGTTTTTAATTCATGTTGGGGGAGCAAAATGGTACTTCTTCTTGCTCTTTCAGGTCCCAATTCAGATTTTTCTGATCTTTATAGAGTCATAGAATCATATTTATGCTAGGACTGGTAGTCCTGGCTGCCTCTCGCTGTTTCTAGATTTTTCTGCATTTGCTTATGGGGAGTTTTGCTGATGTACTCAATAACGCGTAAGATTCTGGTTATGCTAAGTATGAACGTTTTCCAACATCAACTGGATTTATAAAAGTAAATTTCTTTGCTAGGATGTATTTTTCTTGTTTATGAGACTAGGTGTTATGCAGACAGTCAAACCTGCTTGGAATAAGAAAATCCTTTTGACAACTCTTGTTGTCCCAGAATTGCAGCTCAGTTAGTCCTCCTGCTTTCAGGAGCAGCTCTCCTGGAAAACTACTGAAATAGCCCATAGTCACTACCTGATGATATTCTCAAGGAAACAAAAACAGAATGACTTTCTTCCCAGATTTTATGCTTGTCTTCTACACATCTCCTTTAGACTTTCTCACAGACATATGTGTGTGTGTGTATATATATATATGGCACTTGTATCCTGTGGCCAGAATAAAACAGTGTCTGAATTTACTGATTTATTTGTTCTGTTTTAAACGCTTGTGTTATGAAATTAGAGGACCCATGATGGAGAGGAATGAGACACCTTCTTTCTCTCTGATTGCCCTTGAGCCCTTTGCCTCTTCAGTCGTGCCTCCCCCTACTCTTATATTTCTAGTCATGTCTTAGTAGATAGGTATTTTGATGGGTGCTCATAGTGTTTGCTTCCCATGTAGAACACTTTAATGCTTTTAAAAAAGCAGTGATCCTTCTGAAGTGTTTGGGTTTATATGTCTTATCTTGCACATTTTCGAAGTGTGGATAGTAGGGGACACAAGCACACAACTCCTGATTACGAAGCTGATTCTGAAGTCTTAGATGTGTTTCTCTGTCCCAAGTTTTAGTTGCTTGTTTTTAAGCAATATAGTATTTCTAGTCTTTTCTTCTTGTAGCTGGCTGTAAAGCACTAAGTAGAATACAACAGTTGTCTTCCTCCTCCTTGCTTCTCATTAAGTTTTCATAAATGCTTTCTTTACTGCAACCCTTTCAGGGTATATCACATGCTGTTCTGTAGTTAGCTGGGAATTCTATTAAGCTTCTAGTAAAACAAATTACAGTCTGAGTCATTAGGATCTTTCTGTGGTTCAAAGAACTGTGGTGTTAGTATCGTCACTTGAATAGTGGACCTAGCTTCTGTACTCTTACCATGTATTTGAGAAGGAATGTGAAGTACTTTAAGCAGTGTATTTGCTGATGAAATCCCTGAGGTTGATGTATTTTTCTTCAGCTAAATAGGTTTTAGCGTTTAGCTGCTTTACTGTTAAGTATTATTTGGTCTTGTAACATGTTTGTCAGAGTTGGATAATGTGAAAATAGTTCTAAAACTACAGAATGCTTATTTCTTTGGTCTCCAGGTTGCCTCTTAAGTACCCCGGATAATCTGTTACTTGGACAGTGACTTGGTTTTGATCAGTTTATGACTGTTCATGATTATTTCCCTAGCTCTTCTCAAGCACTCCCAATGACTTGGTGTTAATGGTGCTGCTGGAACCTTTTGGAATGGATTTTTTTTCTCCTCCTCACTGTAGCAGTTATAGCTCTCTTGATGAGCAGGTGGAAGTGTTCTCTTCTTAGACATCTTTCGTTGAGGTTACTGTATGTTTTTCCTTTTTCTTGCAGTTACTAAAAAGTTCAGTTCCTCCACTGTTCTGTTGAGTACACCTTCTGTTACACAGCTCTTCCATCAAGTGAGAGACTCGGCTAATGGTTATGCGTTTTATTTTTGAGGCTCTGCTGTTATCGTGCATGCTTTTTGTTGGTGGCAAGCAGAGGAGGCTTGCAGTAACTTATTCTGTGAATGCTGCCTTTAAGGCTGTAGATGATCTGATCAGAGGGGAAGAAAGAATTTGAAACAAGTTAAATGAATGATTTGTTTCTTTAGTACCTATCTGCAAAATATCTCTTCCTCCCGCTTCTTTTTATTGTCTCAACTTACACTTGCTCAGTAATGAAATGTGTGCTTCCCTGCAAGATTTCAGTTCCATCTTTCTGCTTTCTAGTCTCTAACAAGCAGAGAGAGGGTGAAAAAGAAAGCAGAATTGTTACGTGTTCCTGTGTTTGATTTATAGGCTACTTTTGCAGACTTATTTAGCTGCTCTCATTTGAGTTTTCTGCTGTTTTTCTTTGTGTTCATGTGTGCCTTTCCTTTGCTGTGGACATTTTTATTTTCCCTTAAACACATATGCTCTCCAGCTTCCTGCCTGTTTGCTGTTGCAGTCAAAGAGCAGTTCACTCACCTTTCCTTACTGATTGTGGATGCTTTTTGTATTCATATAATTGCTACATCTGTGAAATAGTTCTCTGATATATAAACATGTAGGCCCTCCTGCCCCCCGCCTTGCTTTCCTTGTTTAATTAACACTAATCCATATGACCTGTGCGCTTATACAATTACTTCAAGTTTTTGTCTTTACTTAGATAGTTGGCAGTAACAAGCCTCTTCTGACTTGGGAATTCCTTCATCAGTCATTTCACTTTAATTTTTATTATTTTTTGTATGTCGCAGAATTGCATCTCTTAATATGAAGGAGTTTCTTTTGAACACTTTTCTTCCAGTGTTAGATTTGACAACCTTTTCTGTCTATGCCCTCCTCCCTTCCCATATTCTGTATTCGTTTCCAGGAAAGTGTCACAGGATAACATATTTTCCGTAAGTTCTCAACAATCTGCTGTGCTTCAAAGTTTCTTCCCCCCCCACAACAC